AAAATGCAGAATTTTTCGGAGCAACTGAAAAAGTTGTGAGGCTTGCAGCTGAACAAAGTATTTCTTCTTCGCCCTTTTTTGTGATCTGTGAGTTTCAGATTTAGTTAACACAACTGAATGTGATTTACATCAACTAATAAACCTTAAAAATAAAGCCGAGATGAAAAATTTGCTAAAATTGTCCATATGAATATTTTTAAGGATACTAACAAATCAGCTGTGTTCTGAGATCTGAAAGTGTGGCTGCAATTCCGGCCCTACAAAAACCCGAATTTGCTAACGAGCCCAAGATTTAGGAAATGAACTTAATAATCCAGTTGTTTCAGCCAGTGATATTCAACGTTGAGCGCCCTTACGGGCCTGCTTTTGGCGTGGCACCACACGTCGGAGTTGTAATGCCGCATAGCTCGGTTACCTTGTACTGCACATTTCGATCAGCGCATGTTGCCCGCATTCCGGATGATGGCATCTACATTTATAGTATTTTTCAAAAAGAAATCAGTCCTGAGAAGCTCACAGGTGCACTAACCGGCAAAGCGAAAGAACGAGTGGCGCGCAAAGTAACACTTGAATTTCCTGCAACTAACTTAAGGCCGCAGAAACAATTTTGTGACTTTCCTTTTTGCAAGTAACGAAAGTCTTCCGGGTCTGCGCCCACCCAAAATTTACTTAAATTCCATTCAGGATATCTCAACACTTCATTAAAAAAGCGGCCTGGTCCTTTCTGAGGTACATCGGGGTTTATAATACAAGAGTAGAGCTAATAAAAAGGCATCGCTTCAGCAAATCGAAAAAAACCCCCATTTCATTTATCTGGCTAAAGTCAAGCAACACAAAGCACTGTCAGCCTAAACAGTATGTACCAAGAAAGAGACTGCGTCTGTTGGAGATCGGTGTGTTTCCAAGGCAAAACTTGGTCGGAGCTGAAAATCCTGAAAATTCCCATAATTTTTGGGAAAATAAGCATTATAAGGCACTCGAAATCAACTAAAATACGTTATTTGCTCGTTAAGCAATAATACTGGTGCAAAACAAATCACCTTTCAGTTTGATGGCTTCCTTTCTACAGCTCAGA